GCAATCCGTTCCCACAGTCTGACTCCCAAGCCGCGAAGCTTTGCTAAACTTCAGTTCAGACAGGCTCCCCTTGTAGTAGCCGTCGACCCGAGGCAAAGGCAGCGGCAATCGATCGAAAGCGAGCTCGCAGCTGACGGATGGCCCGAGCTCTACCTGGAATACCACTGACATGTAGCTGGTTAAATACATTGAAGGTAAGACATGATGCAATGTCGATGTTGTGCACAGGTGTTGGAAAGAGGTCGCGACGGCTTCCGAAAATTCTAAGCCTAGGGTCACCCGTGGCTAAAGCGGGGGGGAGGTGGAGGAGGAAACTTCTTATTACAGGCTGGAAAACAAGGCATCTCAGATAATACACGGCAGCATCTCCACCCAAAGGAGGAGGAGGAAGAGGAGGAGGAGGAGGAATAGGAGGAGGAGGAGGAGGAAGAGGACGAGGAGGACGAGGAGGACGAGGAGGACGAGGAGGACAAGGAGGATAAACAAAAACGTCAAATATAGGAAGCGCAGTGTTTTTCGACGCGTTGCCACGCATCGCCTTCCTAACGCCGACCTTTGCAAGGCCTCCTGGCCATCAGCTGCTCTCGGGGCCCTGTCATAAACGTTGCGCTTCCAACGATTCCCCGGTGGGCCCAATTTGCTGCGACCGCTCGGCCAGCGCAGATCAAAACTCACCGGCGCAAGCAAAAACCGTTTCACAGCGCTGTCCACAATGAGTTGGGCGACTTTGCCAATGAGCACGACTTGGCAGTACACAAGTTGGGAACTAAGATTTAGCTCTTGCACATCTGAAGCACGCGTTGGTGGCGCGAGTAAACTGCGAACGCGGGGTGCCCGAAAGATTGCGCAGGCATTGCGCTTGAAAGGATCTGAGATTATTTTGATATGCCAGAGAGCGCGCATGCATGCAATACATCAACTTAGACGATACACTTGCGTCCAATATCAAAGAACGCAAACGATCTTTTCAGAGGGGGACTTGCTGTGTTTCCGTACCTTGCACAATGCTCCAACATCCTTGTAAGCAATGCCGATCCTCCTGCTTAACTCAGGACCACTTCCTCGCCCACCACAGGGTAGACCACCAAGGTACGTCATGCTTTCTCTTTGAAGCATCGCCTGGCCATCCAGCCGTGGGACGTGGGTCTGGCAGCGCAACGGATGAATTTCTACTTCGTTCAAAGTTAGAGATTCGCCGCCGTGCTCTCCTGCGCCCCGCACGAACATTATCAAATGCGAGCCATGAGCTTCCTTGAAGTGCGTCGCCAGCGCGCGCGAGCTCGCCGAGGCGGGTGCCATCGCGCTGGCGGAGGCCAAACGTTTGGACATGCCGCGTCGCGTCGCGCTCCAGCGCGCTCATCGCGATCGAAAACACGAACGAACACAACGGGCATCCCCGAGAGATGCCAGAGGCTCGGGGCCTATAACCAGACGCCCCACCAGAATCTCGGACGCAGCATATCCCGTTCTCGCCCGCGCCCCCCCCCCCCCGCGGCAGAAGCGAAGCGTTCCGCGGCCCCGAAGCGTCTCGGCGCCTGCGGAAGCCCCCCAGGCGACGCGCCGTCGAAGGCCTCGGCCCAATCAAGGGCGAGCAGGAGCAGGCGCGCGCAGGCCGCGTCCAGAGCGTCCTCGATTAGCCGCCCGGCAGCGAATGATGCGTCGGTCGCCCCCCGCCCAGACCGGAACCTAAACCGCGCGCCCTGGGCGCGGCCTTCGACGCCAGCGCGCATCGAGCGGGAGAGGAAAGCACGAGCGCGGCGCAAAGTTTGCAGCAGGCGGGAAAGACAGAGACCCGCCTGCAACATGGCCGCCGCTTCTACTTCGCGCCGCGCCCCAGGGGCAGACGCCTCCGCCCGCGCAGAACATGCCCCTTCGCACGCTGGCGCGCCTCTACCGCAAACCTCTCTCCGGAATTCGGCGGGCGCGCCGCCCTTCCCGGCGGCGCGCTCTAACTTCAGCGCGCGCGCTCCTGCGCGCACATCGGGCTCGCCATCCGCCGCGTCGGCCATTGCAGTTTCCAGCCGCATGGCCCACTGGACTGCGGCGAAATGTTCGGCCAATCTCCGCGCCCGTTCGTCGCCATCAACTGCTCTGCCCCGCGCGTCGCGCAAAAGTTTGGGGGCGCCCCCAATCGCTGGCCCCCTGACTGCTGCTCGAGCCAACTGCTCCTGTCGGTCTTGATGGAACCTGTGGGTCTGCCGTGTAGTCGCTTCTCGAGGTCAGTGCCCCCCTGCCACCTGGCCTCGCCCCGTTTGGCGATCAGCCCCAGAGTGGCGCCGCTGACCCAAGGCTGCTTCTTCGGCGCCGGCACGCAGCGGGGGCGGCCAACGACGGCGTGCTCGAAAAGGCACATCATGGCGGCGTTCAGGTTCGTTCAACGACTGCTCGCCGCATGCCTCTGGCCAGTTGCGCGAGCAGCTTTCGCTGAACTGCGGCGCCGCTGCCCCGGTCAGTCCGCCAGCATCGAACGGTCCAGCTACAGGCACCTCGTTTCGTTGTAGAGCGGCCCCCAGGCGACAACGGCCCTGCACTGAGAAGCGGCGAAAAGCACATGCGGAATCCTGCCAGCCCTGAATGTCTGCGACGCGCAGAACGCAATCGGCCCTGCACAGCGTAGAGTCGATGCGGCCAAAATGCGGCGGGGAAGCCCGGGCCCTTGCTGCGACGCCACACTACTGCCAGAAATCTGGCGCTCGCGGGGGCGGTCGAAGAACGCGACGATGACGACCGCTCCCTCCTTCTCGCGGAGTTCTACAAACAAGCCCCTGTTAGATGACGGGTTGTGTTCGGCGAGCATATCCGAACATGCGATCGCCTAAATATCGTCATTTTCATCCGAATCGCTGTTGTAACCTGGCATGGGAACCGCCTGGCACCCACCGCGGCCTGCCCGTGCTTGGATGCGCCAGCGACGGCGCGGCCGAGCTGGCGGCAAAAGCACTGTCTGCTCTCGCGCGGCCCCCCACCACTGGAGGTCGGCGACGCCCCGCCCGGGGCGCGCCGCATCAGGCGGGACATTTTCGCGGGCGCAATTCAAAGACCAACGGCGCTCCTCTGGGCGCGCGGGGGGGCCAGAAAGCCGACCCTTGCCGCGCCGGGGCCGTCGAGGCCTCCGGAAAGGATTGGCGAAAAACACATCTCAATAACACTACGTTTCGAGTCGTGCTTGTGCGATTCTTGAAGTACGAGGACATCGATGTCTAGCGCGAGCGCGTGCTCCTGGAGCTCCTTCCCCCGTCGCATTAGTCAGCCCCTCCACGTCCCAAGAGGCAAGACAAGCATCGCGCCCGTGCGGGCGCGGCGGCCCGCCTCGAAAGCCAGGGCCACCCGACCAGCGCCAGCGCGTAGCGCGTATGCGCGCGCGTAGTCTGTAATGTTTCGGACTGAATACTTAACCGAATTGGGTTCATAGTGGCAATGGCACCAACTGCTGGTGAAATATTGCGGGGTCGCTTCCTGTTCCCCCCGGCGCCTTCCGGCACCTTCGCGCACCCCATTTCCAGCCCCCCCCCTTGCGCCCTGCGACGCCCAGGTCAAAAACTCGCGCGACGTATCATTTCACGCCTCGGCGCGGGAGTCGTTGTGCAACGGTCCCACGTAGCCCGCGCGCCCTCGCAGTCGCGGATAAAGTTGCCGCCGTCGGCCCCGACCGGGAGAGCGCGCGCTCTCCTCCGACGGTCGCGATGCAGGCGGGGTCGGCGCCGCCGCCCATGAATGCTTTGCTCGGCGCCTCCCACTCACCCCTCAGTACGCATTTGAGGTCCAGACAGAAGTTGAGGGCTGCCCGGCCCGCTGGGGAGCGGCTCTGGCTAGCCCAAACATTATTCTTCCCGTTCCTGAAGCTAGCACGCCTTCGAAGATCGACTGCGGTGTCTCAAGAAACCCGGCAGGGGAACTCAACAAACAGGATTCCCTTGAACTCCCCCTCGGCGTAGATCCAGTCCAGCGCAGGCCTGCCCAGGCCGGCGACAATCCATGCAGCCATTCCGTGGCTCTCTCGAAGTGTTCCAACGCATCCAGACTGCCCACTGCCGTGCTCAGGGCGCGCTCGTCTGCCATGCCGAAAGTGGAGGGGCCGCGGGGGCGCCAGGCCCAGTCGAGAAGAAACGCCCAGCCTCGGATCCACGCGCCGCTCCTCGCGCGGCGTATAGCACGGCGGGCCGCGGCGAGGCAGGCCCGCCCTGCCTCGCGCAGGCCCTGCGCGCCCGGCCGGCATCGCCTGCGCCTGCATCGCTGCAGGGCCGCGCGGCTGGCTCCAGCCCTCGTCCGGCACGGAGCTTGGTTCGCCTGGTTCGTCGTCATGATGCTTCTGCTCGTCGTCCGTTCGTCGCCGCCGCCGTGGAGGGGAGGGAGGGAGGGAAGGAGGGAAGGAAGGGAGGGAGGGAAGGAGGGGAGGAGGGAGGGAAGGGGGGGGGGGGAGGAGGGAGGGAAAGGGGGGAGGGAGGGAGGGAGGGATGAGAGCGATGGACGTTCGGATCCCTCGCTGCGCACCACGTGGTGGCGCCCAACTATACTCCTCGGCCTGGGCCCGTGCAGGCCCACGTCGGGAGAGAAGATCGCGCAGAGTCCAGAGGCGAGGGAAGCCGACGATGTGATGTGGCAGGGATGCGGACTGCGCACGGAGCGCACAGGAGGAGGAGGAGGAGGAGGAAGAGGAGGAGGAGGAGGAGGAGGAGGAGGAGGAGGAGGAGGAGGGGGAGGAGGAGGAGGTGGAGGAGGAGGAGGAGGAGGGGGAGGAGGAGGAGGAGGAGGGAGGAGGAGGGGAAGGGGAGGAGGAGGGGGAGGAGGGAGATGACGACGACCACGTCGACGACGACGACGACGACGCCGACGAAGCCGACGACGACGACGACGACGACGACGCCGACGAAGCCGACGACGACGACGACGACGGCGACGAAGACGACGACGAAGACAACCCCCAGATTTAATCCACGCTGGCCTCAGCAGGCCCCAGTGGCAGCCTGGGGCAATCGAGGCCAGCCTGGACTATACCTCCTGGGCCGTCTGCGCGGATCGTCAAACTTTTGAATGACAAAGGGCCGGACGGGGGCAGGGATCAACATCGACATCGGCGGAAACAGGAGGAGCAGTGGCGAAGGCCTGGCGTCTTCTGTTCGCACCTCAGCTGCCAGCCAAGGCGCCACGCTAATACTCCTCGAGCAAATGCCTCACCGCCGTCCTGCGGCACAAACAGCCGCTGCGACGGCAGTGGTCTCGGCCACCAGAAGGCGGGCGCCTAGGGCCCTGCATCGGGAGCGCAAGGCGCACGAGCAAATCGAAACAGAAAATCGTCCACAAGTTGGCACGAGCACGCCAAGCTTGTCGAATCCGTCACCCATGCGGTGGTGCATCTGACAGCAGCTGGGGCTCAAATGCTAGCAACTCGGCGTTGAACAGTTGAGAAAATCTTCGGCGGCAAAGCATAGGAAACTCCAGTATCATATGATCGGCCCTTGCGAACCGACGCTGGTGGGCGCTAAATCGACGCGAGTCGACACTAAATCGACGCGAACCGACGCCAAGTCGGCGCTATCTCATCGACTCCCAGACGCTAATCGACGCTAGTCGATGCCGAAAAACGGAATGAAGAGGGTTATGCCAGGCTCCCATGATTTGCTACCGAAAACGTTTGAGAAAATCGCCAGGACTGGAAAAAGGTCTTCGGAACTGAAAGCCATCGTCCACCGTCGCCTCGCCTCGCAACCGAGGGCCGCCGGCCGCGCCGGAGCGGGGAGCACCGCGAGGAGAAAGGCGAGGACGAGGAGAAGTCGTCAGTCAGTCTCAGGACGAAGGCGACGAGGCCATGCAAGGAGGTCGTATTGAAGGTCACAGAAACCTGCGACAGCAAATCATGCCTTAAAAAGCTCTGCGCATTCACAGAAGTTGCACCTCGAAGCCTCCAAGTGCCGAGGCAGGTCACAGCAGATACAAACCGTGCGCCAAGGTATACGAGCGACGATCACAAACGGGTCTTACGCGGGATGGCACGGCGACCTTGCGCGGTGGCCCACGCGGGCCGCCAGCGCGGCACGCTGCGCTGGAAGCGGGGGCGCCTACGCGCGACCTTACGCGAGGAGCTTACGCGCCAATGTCGGCGCGAACGACCCCGTTTTTTGCGCCGCTCATATGGAGGGTGGCCAAGTGTCGCAATCCTCCCGATCCTCCTCCTAGTCATCCTCGTCATCCTCCGCCTTCTCCACGTGCTCCGCTCTCTCTCTATCGGGTGGAGAGGGCGGAGACGAGGACAACGTGCCCAAAAACAGCGCTTGCTCTGCGCCCCCTCCTCCTCCTCCTCCTCCTCCTCCTCCTCCTCCTCCTCCTCCTCCTCCATTTCCTCCTCCACCGCCTCCTCCTCCTCCCCCTCATCCCCCCTCCTCCTCCCCCGCCGACTCGGCGCCCCCCCCCCCTGCCGACTTTCGCAGCAGGGAACGGGCGGAGATCATCATCATCATCATCATCATCATCATCATCATCATCATCATCATCATCATCATCATCATCATCATCATCATCATCATCATCATCATCATCATCATCATCATCATCACCAGCATTTCCATCATCATCATCATCATCATCATCATCAGCAGCAACCTCATCATCATCATGATCATCATCATCATCACCATCATCAGCATTATTATCATCAGCAGGATCATCAGCATCATCATCGTCATTGTTATTATCAGCATCACCATCACCATCACCAACGTCATCATCAGCCTCATCGTCAGCATCATCAGCATCATCATCGTCGTCGTGCCCATCGCCATCATAATCATCATCATCAACGTCATCATCATAATCATCATCATCGTCATCGACATTATCATTATCAGCAGCATCAGCATATCACCATCACCAGCATCATCAAAATCATCATCAGCATCATCAGCATCACAAGTACCATCACTATCAAGATCCACGTAATCAACCCCTACCATCATCAACAGTATCGCCACCACCAATTACCAACGTCATCGACATCATCACAGTGAACGAGCACCAACATCGAAAGCAACGTCAACATATGCATCATCACGATCCTCATCATCACCATCATCATCATCCTCATCCTCATCCTCATCATCATCGCACTTGTATTCGCCTTCACCGTTATGCTCATCATCAAGAGCATCAATATGGCAAGTATCACCACCATCATCAACATCTCCACAGTCCCCAATATCAGAATCATCACATACACCTGCACCATCAGCATCACACACCAATCGTCACGAAAATACTGTCAATGCGGACGTCGCTGCGACTTCGCGATGGACTTGCGGAGTCCAGGAGAGCCGCACGCGGACAGCCTGAAGGCACAAGATGGAAGTGACGTCCAGCTCCTGGGCACGAGGGACCGCCATGGCGAACGGACCAGTGCGGTTGGAGCCTTCCTGCTGCAGCTTCCGAAGCAGGCTTGTGCAGGAGACGACGGGACTGAGGAGTTGCGGACCCACAGAGAGGATCGGCCGTCCCTGACAGCGACAGGCCACGATGGGTAGCAGCGTAGAGGGCCAGCAGAACCGCGCGCAGGCTGGAGCTGGTGGTGCCCCTTGTGGCTCTGGCGCACGCGGAGGAGGCCGGCGCAGGAGGGAGCACCAGGAAGCTCGCGAGTACGTGGCCTGCCGCCTCGTGTGGTCTTCTCTTGCACGGAGCGTAAGACAAACATTAGAAGAAGAACAAGCCGCCATAAACATACGTACATTTGTTCGCGCTCCTAGCGGATCTCTTGGATCTGCGCTGGACACCCCTCCCTGGGGCGCGGAGCGCGCCAGGGGCGGCGCTGGAGGCGCCGCAGGGGGGCCCGTTGTCGTCGTCGTCGTCGTCGTCGTCGTCGTCGTCGTCGTCGTCGTCGTCGGCGTCGGCGTCGGCGTCGGCGTCGGCGTCGGCGTCGGCGTCGGCGTCGGCGTCGGCGTCGGCGTCGGCGTCGGCGTCGTCGTCGCCGTCGTCGTCGTCGGCGTCGGCGTCGGCGTCGTCGTCGTCGTCGTCGTCGAGCGCCGAGGAGGAGGACCAGGAGCCAGGCGGCCCCTCCGCCTCCCGAGGCTTTTCCTGCCCTGTGCACGGCGCGAGACGCCGTCACAGTCGCGGTTTAGGCCCGCAGACCATTTGAGCGACGGAGAGAAACGGATCGTACGCGAGCTGAGCTGCCTCGATACGCGACACGCGACAGGTAGCGCATTGATACGGAGCTCAACACGTAGACGGAACACGCAGGTCTGACGCGATGCGTTTGCCAAAACGTGGGCCGACACGCTGGGCCAACACGCAACGTATCGACAAGGACGTTTTCAGCACGGTACGTGCTGCGTTTCAAAACCGGCGTATCGAGGCAGCTCTGTACGCGAGATGACGCAGCGACCTTACGCCACAGCTCACGCGGGCCACCAGCGCGGCAGGCCTCCTTGAAGACGAGGGCGCTCACGCGCGACCTTACGCAGGCGGCTCACGCGCGAACGTCGGCGCAGTCGAGCCCGATTTCTTACGCCGCGTCAACAGAATCGAGGGCTTGAAGGATGAGTGCAATCCTGCGCCCGGCAGCCCTGGGAGCCTGGATGCAGGGCGCTGTCCCATAGCAGCTCTCAGAGGCCAGGGTGAGCGAGCGCAAGAAGGAAAGCAAGATCTTCTCTCGCACGAACTCCGCCGGATCAAGAGCAGCTTTTCGGACCTGGCGGCTGGGCAGGTGGTTTTATAGCATCGCGGAATGGAGCTCTGGCAGGAGCTCCGGCCTCTGAAATGATTTCGAAGCGAACGAGTAGCCGTAAACGGGCCTGGAGGAGAACGCTCGGGATGGCGGGCGATTCAAACGATCGGCATGCATGAAGAGCCTGTGGAGCCTTGGGCAGCCTTGGCGGCCGTACTTGAGGAATCCGGCGGCCCGCCGAGTCGATACTATCTGGCATGGGGCGGCTTCGGCAGACAGAAGCCGAGCCGTGGCCACCTGGCAGAAACCGCCATCGTTCATGCTCGACTCAGGCTCGGAAGCAAACGCGATCCGTGCACTGGTCGGAGCCGCTCAAGACCATGTTCAAATATGATCCCGGCACGGGGCCACTGCTTCAACTAACGTTCCTACCAGCTATGAGTATGTGGACGATCGCTTTTGGTGATTCGGCCGCAATCCAGCAATGCGTGCGCTACTTCCTTAGCAAGGCGAAGCATGGAGGCCACGTCGCCTTTCGAGGGCATACGCTTGGCTCGGCGGGAATTCGACCATGAAGCAGGGTACAGACGTCGACGTGATCTTGAACAAAGGAGGGATATGGGGGTGCTCCAACACTGCGGAGGTTTGTCCTCGGCTCAATGGGCTGCTGAGCAAGTGAGATGAGGCCCAAGTCGGGCATTCCTCAGATGCGGTCGTGAGACGTCGTTTGCGGCTGTACGAGAGTGAAGGAACCTACGGCAAGTCGTTCTTCGAGCCGCTCGGAATTCCGAAGCCCGAAATGAAAGTTATTCACCATGCGAAGCTTGTTTACCTCTAGCCCGTCTTCGCGCTCGGCTCCAATCACTGGACAAACTACGAACCTGGCGACCCAGGAGATGTCGGTAGCGAGCAGTATTACGGATGACGCCGAGGCGAGGCTTGAGGAGTTCATAGACAGACTGCGCAGAAAGACAGAGATGGTCAAACCAGCTGCGATGCGATAGTGCTTTGACAAGAATGGGAAAAACGGGAGATCCGCGCGGGAAGGGGAAGCTGAAGCAGCGGGAGTGGAGATTCTACTGAGGCCAAGCGCCAGCATGAGGCTCCCTTCGCTTCTCGGCAGCAGGCTCGGCCCACTCTTCGGCCATTGAGACAAGGAGCGCCTGACAGGCGCCATGGCAAGGGCCGCGGCCGCCTCTGCGCCGTTCGGGGCGCATGTGCGAGTTTGCATGCAGATGTGCTGACGATGTGCGTCAGCAGTGTGCCCGAGCACGGCCGACACGCTGTGAGTGGGCGTAGCTAACGCTGCGCGCGCACGGAGTTCGCGCGAAGCGCCTAGTCCCAGGCCTCAGGTGAAAGGGCGGAGCAAGCGCTGATCTCTGTGGCCCAGGTTTGTCAAAAGCGGGCAATGGAGCCAAGTGTTTCTCTTGCCGCTTCCGTTGAGCAGTAATGTGGACGGCCTGTGCTCGGGCCTGGTGATGACGACAGCTTGGAGAGCTGGCGATGCCTCCCAATGCCAAAAAGAACGAATGGAGGCTGCTAAGAATACAACGCCTAAGATCCGCTCTTTGCCACCGTCGTCGTCGCCAGCCAGAGTAGCGCTGCACGCGCGCGTGTGTGGCTCGCGCGACCCTTAGGCGGATCGACGTCGACGTCAGTCGTCGTTGCCTTCTGGCTTTAGCCGAAGCTGCATATGCTGCCAGATCTTCAAGACTGTAACTCTGCCTTGCGCCTACAGGACAGCAGATCACTGTGAGATTACGATAATGCATGTTGCATATTGTATATCAGAAGGACTGCATCGGCTCAGTAAGACAGTACACCCAAGGGTGGACCAACGCTTCGAGCGCTGACGCCGAGAATATGATTGGATGCTCAACATTGAGCTACGAGAGGTTTCAGAACTACTCCATCAATCTACCAGGTTCGATCCCCCCTCTCTTCCATCCACCCCACCTCTTCCCCCCCCCGTCCCATCCCGTGCCCCAATCCCCTCCTCCCAACCCCCACCCATCCCCCGTCCCATTCACTCAACGCTTGCTCTGTATGAATACGACTCTCCCCTCTCCTCCGAATACGGCTGGGGAGTAGCACGCCCTCATCCGCGCAATGCTTTTCAACACAGGATGGTGCCGAGTTGAGTTGTCTGATGTGTTTTTCCACTCCAAACGGTCTCGGTCCTACCAAAATGGTACTTTGTCCAGAATGGCGCTCTCGCCGAAGCGCGGGCCCAATTTCTGGATCCGGGTCACTCCTCATCGTTGACGCCCCCCTCCTCCCCCTCCTCCTCCTCCTCCTCCTCCTCCTCCTCCTCTTCCTCCTTCGCCTTCCCCTGACCCTCCTACTCCTCCCACTCCTTCCGCTCCAGCTCCTGTTGCTGCTTCTGCTGCTACTGATACTGATACTCGTCCTCGTCCTCGTCCTCTTCCTTCCTCATTCTCCTCCTTTTCCTCCCCGTCCTCCTCCTCCTCCTCCTCCTCCTCCTCCTCCTCCTTGTCCTCCTCCTCCTCCTCCTCCTCCTATGTATGCAGCTCCCCTGTTCCAGTTGCGCGTCAAGCCACGGGGTCCTTGCTTGGGAGTTCCAGCCTCGCCATACACACGTCCACGGAGAGAGAGAGAGAGAGAGAGACAACAGCCTGGTGGGAAGGGATGGGTGGGATGGCTAGGATGTTAGATATGGCGCGAGTGCACCCAGCTTGATATGAGCGCTGCTCCCCTCTCTCCCGCAAAGTGGGCCTGAGAGTGGCGCACCCATCCCCGCACTGTTTTTCCACACGGGGTGGTGCCGAAGTGCTGTCTCGAATGTGCTTCCCACCCGAGCGTGTTCGATCCTGCCAAGAAGGCGCTCCCTCTGCAGCGTTGGCCTCAGTTTAGGAAAGGCGCTCTGAGAAGGATGAGAAGGAGGAGGAAGAGGAGGAGGAGGACGAGGAGGAGGAGGAGGAGGAGGAGGGGGACGAGGAGGAGGAGGAGGAGGACGACGACGACGATTCCGTCGTTCAGAATTGCGTTCTCGCCCCAGCGCGGGCCACATTTCTGGATCCGAGAGATGCCTCGTCGCTGTCGCACCCTTCATTCCCCCCTCCCGCCTCCACATGGTCCTCCTGTTCCTCCCGCTCCTCCTGCTTCTCCAGCTCCTGCTGCTGCAGTTCCTCCTCGTCCTCCTCGCTCATGCTTGGTCTCTTTCTCCTGCTCATCCTCCTGCTCATCCTCCTCCTCCTCCTCCTCCTCCTCCTCCTCCTCCTCCTCCTCCTCCTCCTCCCCCTCCTGCTCCAATTACACAGCTCTCCTTTCTTCCACATTGCGCGTACCACGATGAGGTTCTTTTTGTTGTTCCAGGTCCTCTATGACACCCGTTGGCGGATAGAGCAAAATCAGCGCGATAGGAAAGGACGGGAGGGAGGGGTAGGATGCCAGATGTGGTGCGAGCGCACCTAAATTGTCCTACCCCTGTCCTTCAACCTCCCGCCCCCCTCCACCCGTCCCTCCTCCCACACCCCTCCTCCAACCCCCCCCGTGCTGCGCATAACACATTCTGCGCACAACACGTGATGCACTGAGCGCACACCGCGCGCAGTGGCCTCCTCATGTCTCCACACCCGTCACAGCACAACGCTAAAGTTTCTCCCTCCACCGCCAACCGCAACTCGCCGTCTCAGGCGCAGAGCTGCTTCCAGAGGGCCAAAGCCTCGTCCATCTGCTCTTGGGTGATGTCGTTAAAGAGGCGCGCGACGCCGTGGCCGATGGGCAGCGGGATCTTTTGGCCCTGCGAGAACTTGATCCGCTCCTTGAGCGAGAAGGCCACCTGCGCGGAGTCCATTCTCTCGTGGTAGACGGGCAGCTTGAGGCCGCGCGCGGTCGCGATGATGGACTTGAGGTACGGCATGCTGATGTGGCCGCGCACGTGGGCGAGGACCGACGAGAAGACCATGTCGATCGCGACGGCCTCCCCGTGGAAGAGCTTTTCGTCGTGCAGCACCGACATCTCGAGCTCCATCGAGAAGACGTGCCCGAAGTCGACGAGCCGCTCGAGGGAGTCCTCCCACAGGTTGGGCGCCAGCTCCTCGAGCATCGTCTGGATGGCGAGGTTGAGCACGCGAGCCGAGGCGACGGAGCCGCCGGCGTCGGCGTCCTGGAACTTGCCGTCGATCAGCTCCTCGCCATGGTTGGCGAGCAGCTCGTACAGCTCGCCTTCCTTGACCAGCGCCATCTTGAGGATCTCGGCAGCACCGTTGGAGAGCTGTCGCTGGTCGAGGGAGCCGAGGAAGGAGCGGTCCAGCAGCGTGAGCGCCGGCGGCAGGTAGGCGCCGAGCTTGTTCTTGTGGCCGACGAAGTTGACGCCAGTCTTCGCACCGATGCTCGCGTCAACGTACCCCATCACAGTCGTCGGCACGCGGATGTACGGCGTGCGACGGCGGTAGATGGAGGCAGCGAAGCCGACGATGTCCATGCACACGCCTCCTCCGATGGCGATAACGGGGTCGAGGCGGCGGTCGATGCCAAGGTCGTGGATGGCCTCGGCGATCTTGAGCACCATGTCCATGTCCTTGTGCTCCTCGTTTGTCGGCAGCACGAGCAGCCGGTGCTCGACGTTGTGGTGCTCGAGGTAAGCCTTGATCTTGTCGCCGTAGATCGCGAACACGTTGTCGTCCACGACGACGACGCGCTTGACGGCGCGCGACAGCGCGCGGGCGAGCATCTCGACGTCGCCGTCGAGGAAGCCGAAGAGGAGGTCGGTGCTGGACGGGTCGAGGACGCCGAGGCTCTCGCGCACCCTGTAGCGGAAGGTGATCGGCGACTCCACCGTCCACTCAGTCGCGGCGCCGTGCTGCTGCTGCAGGAGCTGCGCGTCCGAGACCACGGTGGCACCGGCCACGTCGTCGCCGATGCGCCAGGCGTCCTCGTCCGCAGGCTTGTGGAGCTGCCTCTGGGGCCGCTCGGCCACGGGGGAGGGTGCCCCCTTCTCGCGCTCCTGCACGGCCGAGCGCGGGATGCGCGTCAGGCGCAGGCCGACGCTGCGCTCCGCGACAGCACGGTCCTCCACAGCCCATGCAGATGGCGCTGCTGTGGAAGCGGAGGGGGCGAAGGCAGAGCCCGCACCGCCGCGGGAGGCAAGGCGGCAAGCAACCGCGGCCAGGATCAGGGCGAAAGCTCTGCTGAGCAGCCTGCGCTGCGTCGGCATGTTAAGGGATCAGGGGAAGGCTGCGCGCGCTGGCGAAATGGCTTCGAGAAATGCTGGCAGTTTGATCCTGAGAAGTTTTCTGCCTTGCTCCAGAATGGCTGAGGATGTGACTTGCATTCGCGTTGTTTAGCTCAGATTAGATTGAGCATTGAATTGGTTTTCGATTGAACGTGATCTTTAGCCAATGCTACTTCGTTTAAAATGCAGCTCAAATTGTCGTAGCGGAAGCCGTGTCTATCAATGCTGTGTTTGCCTGGCTTGTGTTTACTTCGGAGTGTCTTTAACTACCTCGGCTGTGTTTGTATTTCAGCTGTTTTACACTAGGGAGGAGGATGCCAAGGCAAACGATGAGGAGAAAAAGGGGGCGGACAGGCTAGAAGAGGAATCGAAAGGACGAAACCGAAAACGAACAGAGAAAATGGGTGACGAAGGAAATGCGAGCGAACAGCCAACGAGGAGGGCAAGATAGATAAGTGAGGAGAGAGGAACGTTGATAGATGGAAGGGATGATGAAATAGAGAAGGGAAGATGGGATCCTCCACATCCCTCCCTCCTCCTCCTCCTCCTCCTCCTCCTCCTCCTCCTCGTCCTCCTCGTCGTCGTCCTCCTCCTCCTCCTCTCATCATCATCATCATCATCATCATCATCATCACCATCATCATCACCATCATCATCATCATCATCACCGTCAACAGCAGCATGATATTCATCATCATCACCATCATCATCATCATCATCATCATCATCAGCATCATCATCAGCATCGTCATCGTCATCATCCTCATCATGTTCATCATCATCATCATCATCATCATCAGCATCGTCATCATCATCATCATCATCATCATCATCATCATCATCATCATCACAATCATCGTAATCATCAACAGCATCAGCATCATCATCGTCATCCTCATCCTCATGATCATCATCAGCAGCATCATCCCCATCATCATCGGCAGCATCAGCATGAGCATCAGCATCAGCATCAGCATCTGCATCTGCGTCGTCGTCGTCGTCGTCATCATCATCATCATCATCATCATCATCATCATCATCATCCTCATCCTCATCCTCATCCTCATCCTGATCGTCATCGTCATCCTCATCCTCATCCTCATCCTCATCATCATCATCATCCTCATCCTCCTCCCCCTCTCCCCTCTCCCATCTCCTCCCAGCCCCTCTCCTCTCCTCCCCTCTCCTCCCCTCTCCTCCACCCCCCCCTCCCCTCCCCTCACCTCCCTTCCCTCCCCTCCCCTCCCCTCCCCCCCTCCCCTCCTCTCGGCAGGCGGCGCCTCAGCTGCAGGAGCTTCTCGCGCAGCGAGGCCACGCGCGACCTGAGGCCCGCCTCGCAAGCGGGCGCGGCGCGAGGGGCGGGGAAAAGGAGGGGAAGGACATAACCAGTGGGAGCCCACGGTGAGTGCATCAGGAATCACCAGATGCTCTGGAAGGAGGAGGAGGGAGGGAGGGAGGGAGGGAGGGAGGGAGGGAGGAGGAGGAGGAGGAGGAGGAGGAGGAGGAGGAGGAAGAGGAGGAGGAGGAGGAGGAGGAAGAGGAGGAGGAGGAGGAGGCGCAGGAGGATGCCGTAGGGCGGCCGGGCGGGGTGGAGGCCCGCCTCTTCCTGCGGCGGCGGAGCATTTTTTTTTTATCTGTGTAGGCGCCGCGCGAGCACGGCGGTTTCATGCACGCATTCAAAGCCGCGGGACCAGCGCGGGGTCCCGCGGGGTCCCGCGGCGCCCGCTCACCGCCCGATCATCTCCATGAACGAGGCGCAGAGCTGGGCGACGTCACGGTCACGGAAATTTCTCGGATCGGCGCTGGAGTCCCTTGGCGGCGCCTCCGGCGCCGCCCCTGGCGTGCTCCGCGCGCGCCAAGGAATAGGGTCCAGCGCCGAGCCAAGAAATCTGCGCGGACCTTCGAATGGTCATGTTTATGCCATCACTTGTTCCTGGAGAAATAGCAGCACCACCACGAGCGCGAGGAGCCAGACGAGGGTAATCCTGGTTATGTGGTCCCCCCTCTCGCTCGAGACACTCCGTATCCCCAGCTCGGGGAGGCATCGTCAACTTGGACCTCCTGAATGGATGTGGTTTCCCTGGTGGTGGTGGTGGTGTCGCCTCTCCTTCCTCTGAGGGCACGGCAGGTTTTTTTGGAAGTTCGGGAGCTTCGGCTTCAATCAGGTGTGTTGTTTTCTGACGTTTCGAGGGCTTCGGAGGGCTTCTGGAATTCTGGCGTTTTGGAAGTTTCGGGAGCTGTTGGTTGGTGCGGTGCCTGCATCTGACTCGGAGTTGTTCGAAGCTTTCGTCGGCCCTTGAGGTCTTCTGGGGCTGGGGGGGCGCACAGTAGACTCGCGTCGTGCCGTCTTCGACTTTGCCGAATTTTCGGCAGCTTTCGTCGGTTATTGGATTTTCTGCAGCGGAGGGCAGGGGGGGGGACTCGGCAGGCTCGTGTCTTGCCGACTTCGGTCATTTGAGGTTATCGGGAGTTTTCGTCTGCTCTTGGAGGTATTCTCGTCCCCCTCCTCCTCCTCCTCCTCCTCCTCCTCCTCCTCCTCTTCCTCCTCCTCCTCCTCCTCCTCCTCCTCCTCCTCCTCATCATCATCATCATCATCATCATCAACATCATCATCAACATCATCCTGAATATTGCCTTCCAGGGCCCTCTTGGGGAGCCTCTTGAGTCCGTCCTGGAGCGTGTTGGAGTCCTCGTCGGCTGTCTTGAGGGCATCTTGGGCGTCTTCGGGGCCTCGTGGGACCGTCTTGGGCCCTCTCGGGGCGGGCTCGGGCCGCCTCGGGAGCTCTGGACCCCCCCCCGCAACCCCTGGTGGGCACCGATGGGGGGAACAGGCAGCGGCCCGCCCCCCCCCTGGGCCTACTCCGAGATAGAGAATCATGTTCCCGGGAAGCTTTCCGGGAGCATGATTTGTTCGGCTCTCTAAGAGGGGGGCCGCTGGGGGCTTACCGAGGGGCGCCTTTTGGCCTTGTCGGCAAGCCTATTTGGGTAAAAACAACATTGTTGGGTGCGGTGGCGAAAAAGCCCAAGTATCCAAGTTTCCCAGAAAAGCTATCGGGAAATACGATTTACCGAAAGTGTCCTTGGGGGCCCCGCAGGGGGCTTCCCTGTCGGCCCCTAGGGGGCTATTGGGGGGGGCCTTACGGGAGGGCCTCTTGAAGCGCTCACGGGCTATCTTGGACTTTTGATGGCCTGGTCCTAAGTATCCTCTCATGCCGGAGAACCTTTGAAATGTCGGAGATAGCGTGATCCAATCGCCGCTTTACTGTGAAAAATAGCCAACCTTTTCCTCAGAGCCCGGGCTCGCCCCCCCCCCCTCCGAAATCCCCACCCCAACCCCCCCCCCTGGACCCCCCCCCCCCCGTGCAAAACCCCCCCCACCCCTTACACCTCCCCCCCCCTCCCTCGACCCCCCCTCCCCCTCGAAATACCGAGGGGTCACTACCGGTTCGAACCCCCCCCTCCCCTCGAAAACCGGAGGGGGATCACTACCGGTTCGAACCCCTCCCCACCCCCCCACTCACCGCCAGCAAACGACTCCCGGTCCCTACCACCGTCCGCATCACATCCTCCACTGTTGTTCCCAGCACCACTGTCCTCACCACCGCTGTCCCCACTGTGTCCCCACCAGTGCCCCCACCACTGTCGCACTCCCCACTGTCCCCACCACTGTTCCCACCACGGTTCCACTCTCCCCACTGTCTCCACGGCCCCAACCACTGCCCGACTATCCCCACAGTCCCCACTGTCCCACTGACTCCGCCGCTGTCCCACTGAGCTGTCCCACTGTTCCCACCACTGTCCCCACTGTCCCCACCACTGTCCCCACTGCACCTCTGTCCCATTGTCCCACCGCCGTCCTCGCCACCGCCTTCACCACTGTCCCCACCACCATTGTACCCTCCACTGTCCCACTGTTTCCACCTCATTCCCACTTTGCCCACACCACTGTCCCCACCACCACCGTCCCCACCACTGTCCACTGTCCCCCCTGTTCCCACCATTGTCCCCACCACTGTCCCCACCACTACCGCCCTCTACTGTCCCACTGTCCCACTGTCCCCACCACTGTCCCGCTGTCCCCTCACCACTGTCCCCACCAACACCGTCCCCACCACTGTCCGCACCCCCACTCGGTTGTCGAGGGGAAGGGGGGCGGGGTTTCAAACGAATCCGGTAGTGACCCCCCCCCCCTCTTATTTCATGATGACGGTGGGGGTGGTTGGGGAGGGTTCCGAGTTCGAACCGGTAAGACCCCCCCAGTTTCCGGAGAGGGGGGGGGGTGAGGTTCGAACAGTAGTGACCCCCAAACCCCGGTTTTCCGCCAGCCGCGGTAGGTGGGGATGAAAATGGGATAGAGAGAGGGATGGGAGGGGAGTAATGGGGGAGGGGTTCGAACCAGTAGTGACCCCCCCCGGTTTTCCGCCAGCAGCGGTAGAACACGCTCTTTCAAATGTCGCGCTCTTCGGGCCCTTTGGGTCGCTCTTGGGGCTCTCTTGGGGCGCTCTCGAGGCCCTCTTGACTTATCTGGGGAACCTCCTGGGCCGTCTCTGGGCTTTCTTGGGAGCCTCTTCGGCCGTCTTGGAGCGATCTGAAGGGCCTCTGACGCGGTCCGGGACCGTGGGGACGCGGAACATGGGAGAGCGCAAGAATGCTTCAAAAACCACTGGAAAATTCATAATTTTCGGATTCTGGGGCCCTTTGGAGGGGCCTCTGGAGGCGCTCTTGGGGCGTTTTGGCGGCGTCGTCGGCCGTCCTGAGGTCATCTTCGGCATGTCCTGGGCCTCTGGGGGCTGTCTTTAGGCGTCCTGGGAACCCGGAAATCATGTTCCCGGAGAGGCTTCCGGGAACATGATTTCGAACGAGGCCCTCTTGGGCCTCCCTGAGGCCGTCTTGGGGGCCTCCTGGCGGGCTTTGGGGCTCATGGGCGTCCTTGGCGGGCCAGCGTTCCGGAGCCCCACAGGGAAAAGGAACGAACCCAATTGGCCGATCTAGGCCCTCTTGGGTCTCTCTTGGGCTGTCTTGGGGCTCCTCGGGGGCGTCTGAGGCACTGCGAAGACGAAGCAAAGGAGCATGCTGAAAATG